CTCCTTCAGCTGAGCCTCCCAGAGTTTTGATGGTCCTCACAGAGTTGGAGACAAAGGCCAGCAGCTGGGCGGACGCCTTCAAATATCGCAGCGTCCGAAGGAGCCTCAGGTGTACTGCCACGGTTTGCCCGTGGAAGTGATGTTCAGTATCCCAGGGAGGTGGTCCCCTTGAAAACCTCAGCCTTCCAAAACCGCGGGTGCATGAGAGGCACACAGGGGTGGCTAAGAATTTGCTTGGATGTGCGACCCAGACGCCGCAGGAGACGCAGGAGCCGGAAGGCGGGCAACGACCTGCGGCCGTGGACACTCGCCTCATATGGCCTGGCAAAGCCGCACGGCCTAGCCAGGCTTCCAGGGAATGCAAACTGCTCGATGAAAACCAAAACAATCAGCACCATGTCCTGCCAGACGCGCAGAAAAACAAACTACCCCCCAAAAGAAAACGTGAATGTGGCAACCATGGCGGCAGTGCGACGTGTGACTGCGACACAAACCAGAACAAACCAACAAACCCACCCACCCACCCACCCACCCACCCACCCACCCACCCACCCACCCACCCACCCACCCACCAACCAACCAACCAACCAACCAACCAACCAACAGCTCCGCGGGCGGGCGGGCGGGTGGGCGGGCGCGCGGGCGGGCGGGCGAATGCACCCTGCACAGGCAAAAACTCAGCGATTTGCAGAGATTGAGCTCGGTCGTGAGGTGCGGCGGTGGGACGGTGGGGGCTGAGGGCTAAGCTACAAACGTTTATGTCAGGCTCAGCCCAGCCCAGCTCCGCAAGTCGCCCTGCGGCCAGCTTAAGCCAATCCCTCGGTCACGCCCCACCTCGACCCCGGAGTTCAAGTTCCTGGAAGTCACTTTGCGCTGCCCGCTGGACTGCTCGGCCCAGTCCCGGCATCATGAGGCGGGCAGTGCGCAGCGTATACAATAACAAACGGCAAGCAAGCAACAAAAAACAACCAACCACAAGCAGCGAACAACGAACAACAAAAATCCAACAGAACCAACAACCAACAAGGGACAACCAACCCCACACAACAGCAAGCCACAAAAAACAACCAGCGGCCATATCATGAACATGAACATGGCACCCTTCTGTCCAGCACAGTGAGCGGGTCAGTGAAAACACCAGAGCCGAAGGTCAGGAACCTGCCGCGGGGCATCAAAAGCTCTGCCGCCCCCAGGCCAAGGTGGGCATTCACCCACAACAAGTCGGACCTGGCCCCGTGGCCTGCAGTTTGCTTTCACAAACGCCGAAACGAGCCCATCTTGTGGACGTAGTCCAAGTCGCTTGGCTTTCCTTTTAGACAAATCTCTGGCACGTCCGACTTTGGTACCGCAGCGCACCCTCTACGATTCATTCACCGCTGTTCTCAACACTTTGCGTATCCAGGGCCTCAGGCCCAACTCTGCCATATACACGAAGAGGAAGGACAGGTTGGCAGCCTGGGCTGGACAGCAGCTTGAAGCTGTCTGTGCACATCGCTCTTCAGTCAGCGATGGGCGGCCGGCGGCACCAACCCAAAACCCCAGGCCCCGCTTCAGCTTATATCAGTGCCAGGTGCAATGAAAAACAGGGGCATCACCGCGCCGAGATCAACCTCGACGCCTGCGGGCTGGACGGCTCTACGAGCACAGCCGGCTTGCAGTCATGCCACAATCCGCGAAGGCCCACCTTCGCAATTGAGTTGCCTCCTACTGGGAAGACCCCAAAAAAAGCAGCGCTTTCGTTGGAACGTCCGCCCCCCCCCCCCCCCCACAAAAAACAAAAAGCGCCAACAACAATGACACACCCAAGTCTGCGCCTATGAGGATGGCATTGATTATCACCTTGGTGGCAAGGACTGGCCCTCCCAACAGACCACAACTCGCACTGCGCAGGTCCAAAATGCCCGCCAGGAGGCCACCCCGCCCATCATCAGCGCAAATGGGTTTGATTCCACCAGGGGCACCTCAGCTCACGGCGAGGTGTTTGCCGTGGCAGCCACGACCCAGGCTCCACCATATGCAACCGCAGCCAGACCAAAGTGTGTACTTTTGGAAAACGCCTTCCAAAATATATATATATATATATTGGTTTTTGAGGTTCCTACAGTGTTTTCAAGAAACTAGTTCTGGGATGGCAGCCAAAAGCATTGCTATTCATCCTGGAACTGTGAGTTACCGGGCAAATTCAGCATAGGGCGGACATGTACTTTTCATCACGGGGGTTTGCCAGTTGCTCACTGAAGAGCCCTGCCTTTGTCGGAGCGAACTGGGTGCGGTTGTGCGCGGCCTTCCTGATCATCTCCAGCTCCTGTCTAAGAGGAACCCACAAAGATGCGAGTGGGACTTGTCGATGGGACCTGCCCCGCCTCGAAGAGGTCAGGGACAGATCCCCCGCTGTCTACATGCTCCACGGTCACCACGGTCGGCGGAGCCTGCTGCTTCTCAAGGGAATCCATCCCAGGGTGTGCAGGGGATTCTGTGTCATCCATCCCATCCATCACGCTGTCTGCGAAGGTCTCCGCTGTGCTAGACCTTTTGAGCGCAGCCTGAGCTGGGCACAGTGACAGGCGTGTCAACGGCGCCTCTGTGGGAAGCCAGCATCTACTGGTTAACGCTGTCCCATGTGCCACCCTTCGCTACCCTTTGCCAAACTGCCACTCGAGCCTTCTGCGTGGCAAGGCACGCTTCTCGCATCGCCAGGTCCCTGAGGAACCCCGGGCACCGTGACAGCTGTCCTCAGAATCTGAGGCCCGCGAGCGCAGGGTCCTTCCAAGCCCTTCCCCCCCACCCCGAAACCAGCTCGAAAGCATAGATTGCCGGCAAGGCGCCCATAGGACCAAGGGCCTTCCCACACTTCCCCAGCCATGGCACATGGCAGATCGACTTCTTGCAACAAAGGAGTTTTGCGGCCGTGTTGGGCAAATCACGAAGGCCGCGAGCATATGTTCTGTCAGCCCGAGGGACCGTGTGGACAAAATGTAAACCTGGACTTGCAGATTCTTGTCGTCTTGACGTGCGTGAAGTCGATCCAGTCTACCAGCCAAAACGGCCCGTCACACATGCCGGTACAGCGCAAGTGCAAATCCCCACATCGCCAAACGGCTTTTTGGTGCTCGGAAACACGCCCGCGTGTGGCAAAATGCCTCCGCTAGGTTCTGTACTTACCTCAGCGAAGCTTAAGGCAAACATTGACGGCTGTTCACACCCTTTGATCTCCTTGCAGCCGTCAACATCTGCGGGGGTGAGAAATGGTGAGAAGAGCTAGCACCATCTGATTACATCTTCCCTGTGCGCGGCGCACGCCTGCCCGAAAACATACAAAGATCGATGTCAGTCGTGTCTCTTTCTCCCTGCCTTCTGCGTGCGCGCCTGAAGTGCTCAGCTTGTGGCGTCCTCAGGACCTTGCCGCGACACAGTGCCACAGAACAGCACGCAGATACAACCTGACGGCCGTTCATGGACCCAAATGCGTGAAGAGATGGCCCTTAGCCAAGCGCGCAAAGCTTTCAGCGATTCAGACTCATCATCACCAATCCAGGCATTCAAAGAACCAACCCCCCTGCTCTCTCGAAACCCACACAACCCGCACCCCAAGTCTAAGTCTCCGCAGCCTCCCCCAGTCTCCCCCAGGTCTCCCCCAGTCTCGGCCCCCATCGGCCTGCACCCGTTCCGGGGTTCGGGGAGCGCTTGGCCAGGCTGGCGACCAGCAGCCGGGTGGCACGCAGCGGCGCCAGCGTGGTGGCCACGCCCAGCCCGGCCAGGGTGGAGGCGATGGCCGGCACCACCTCCCGGCCCAGGTGAGGCCTCCAGGGAGAGGAAATGCCGAGCCAAGGGGCCTGAGAAAGAAACCTCAGGAAAGCGAGAGCTGGAAGAGGCACTGACTTAAACATGCTTGAAGTTCAAACAAGTGATGGGTCCCCCTTCGCCTCTGCACATCTTGGCCCTCCTGCCCCTCTTGGCCCTCAGCGCCCTGTGCAGTCTGCTGGTGCTGCGCGTTTGTGCCTGTGAAGTATCCGAAGGCAGTTTGGATCTCCCGCCGCCCCATCTCAAAGTCCTGAAAGATCTGGTGTTTGAAAAGGTCCACCTCCCGCTCTGGCACTATAGCCGGCTCCTGTGACAACGGCCCTCCCTCCTCCACAGGAAACTTCGCAGCCGTGGCAATGCTTCGGGCCGCCAGCCTGGTGCCGTGCAGCGGGATCAGCCGCGCGGTGGCACACACCCCGGCCGTGATGCCCACCACCTGCCCCGCCACCTGGCGGTAACGGTTCTCCTCGCTCTCGCCGAAGGCGCCCTTCATGTCTTGGTAGTTGGCCTGGAAGTCCGTGACCACTTGCTGCTTGAAGTTGGCCCATCCCTCCTGGTAAGAAGGTGCTTCTTGCACCCCCTCCACGGCGCCCTCGGCGCCGTTTGGTACGCCGGCGTCTTCTGGAACCACGGCAGGGGTCTCCTCCCCAATGCCGCTCGCCAGCAAGGGCGCAGTCGCCACATCTGCACCCAGCGTCACGCGCAAGACCCCAGCGGAGGCGCTGCGCAGGGCATCCTCGAAGGTGGCCGCTGTCAAAGGGCACAGCCCCTCCCCACTGACCTGACAGTTCGGAGCCCAGGCATTTGTTCAGGCTGTCTCTGGACATCTTGACTTCTAAGAATACTAAACGCAAACAAAACACAAAAGCCTCAAAGCCTGGCTTGGCACTAAGCGACATAGTGAAGGCTCTGCCCAACATCTGCCGTTTCGAAGAGGCTCAAAGCGCACCGTCGAAGGCTCTCGTAGCTAGCCTCCTGCGGCGGCCAATCCCTCAGTCGGCGCACCTCGTTCCGGTAGGAGACCTTCAAAGTCAGCTTGCTCTCCATGGTACGTGGATTCGGAACGAAGCAGGGGCCAAATTATTCCAAGCTCCAAAGTTCACCCGCTTTGGAGAAAAGTTGCTGCGGCCTGATGATTGCGCGAGCCGAGGGGCGGCTGAAGAACAATGCAAGAGATGCAGTCAGCTTCTGCTGAGCGCCTAGGGAGATGCCAATGTCCAGCATACTGGTGCCCCATGCCTGACAAACGATGGCTGTCCTAAAATTGGGGAGCCTCTTCCGTGGCAGTTGAAAGGATGTTAATGGAAACTCCGGCGTATTGATGGGGTCCCCCATCTTAGGCAGCACATGGCTGATCTTGTTGTTCGCCTTATCTTTTGCCTGTGACTGCGGACCAGGCCTTCTCATCGGTCCCCCCTGCGACTTTCTTTGGCATCCACCTCGCGCACTGCTGCCACGCGGTGCCCCTCCGAATAACAACACAACTTGTCCCCCTTCACCAAAGCGGCCGTGGCCATACCCACATCCCCAAACAGCAAACTGAAGGCAGTGCTAGGGCCCCAGCTTGCTGAGATACACCGTGCTGGTGGGGAAGAGCGGGCCCTCAAAAACGATTGGCGACCAAATCAGAGGGTCGCTCCTTTCACGGCCAACGGCTTTCCGGTGTACGGCTCTCCGCTTTTGAACGCCAGAACTTGGCCAATGAACGGGCGTCCGGCTGGTTGCCCATGGGTTCCTTTTGAGTCTTTTGAGTATGGTTCACAAGCTGGGTTGCCGCTTGTCTTCAACTGCCATGCGAACGCGAGGTCGAAAACTGTGAAGCCTTGACAGTCCACTAGTCCAGGGCCTTTTCTTATTGTTTTGTCTCTCTCTCTCTCTCTCGTGCTACCGGACTCCGCTCGGCCATGCAGTCAGGCATGCAAAACCCCGATGCCTATTGGCTGGCAGCCAATGGGAAACGTCATTTCTGTAACAGCGCTGCCAAAACACACGTTTCTGTCAACCTGAATGGGTCCGATAGGCAAGTAATCCCCCTGCTTGAAGCAAAAGTTGCCTCCTTGTGATCCCTGACCGCTTTCGGGACAGCACCTGCCCATAAGAGCGAAAATATGTGGTTGAAGCCTCGCAGCAGTTCCCAGACTGTCCGAATGATTAGAAGCAACGAAGGGCTGTGTGTCATCATGATGGTTGTTTGTCGGCGCCCTCTGTCAAACCAATGGACAAAGGGAGTGCTGAGAACTTTGACATGCACACAATCTCAACTGATCCTAGCCCTCCCTTGCCCATCAGGCGCAGCGACTATACTTCAATACCTGATTTCTGCTCTCCATCTAGCGGTACGCATTCTCATTCGTGACAGGTGGCGAAAAGACCCTGTTTCTTGACCAGAACTAGGGAAAACTTGGTGACGCTGAGGAACCATGGGAAAGCTCCAAGAGTCCAAAAGACAAATGTTGCGCGTGGAAATGGCGTGCCATGGCAAAGATGGACCTGTGGCTGTTGCTGTGGGAAAAGAGCTGAGCGCCCAGAAACTGACCCTAACTATTGAACACTTGCCTTCCACGTGTGTCCAAAGTCCCCTGCCAAATCATGGACCCCCCGTTGCACTTCCGGTGTGACTGCGGGGCAAACCTGCACAGCGCCCATCAGCGCCATGACGCACCAAAGCCCAGACCTGCCAGTTGCCAGATGGCTCATCCGCGACACTAATGCCCAATCACCTGTAGCCTATTCTTTAGCACTCCCGGCACCAACTCCCACAACACGCAGCACATGCAAAGATGCCTTCGAAGCCAAGACTCCCGAACTAAACATGAGGGAAACCCGACAACTTTCAACCATGAAAATCAACTGCAAGGATAGACCTTGGCTGCAGCCTGCCGGTGGGTTTTGTCCATTTTGGGTCTTGTCCATTTGGGCGGCTTCCTCTGATTTCCGCGCCATCCAAGCACGGGGTGATGTGCCATGCTCCCCTGCAGCTGCTTCGCAGGTGCTGGAAAGACTAGAGTTCCACTGCGCATCAGTGTCTTTGTACAGGGTGAAGCGTATATGAGTCGTTGGAAGGCGTTTCCAAAAATTCCGAGTGGGACCGGCCAGACTTTGGCCGAGAGATGGCCTATTGAACCCAATGGATCGGCCATTGAAACGAAAAGTGCGGCATTTTGAAGCGTAGCATGGTACCTGCTGATTCAACACAAAGAGGGCACCCTAGTCAATGTAGAGACTTCACGTCGAGTACAATCGCACAGCCTTTTCTATTTGTCTGTTTTGAGACGGGGCAGAAGATAAACATTCTGGGTGCGTGCCGCATCTCCGCACCCTGTGGCCATGCTAAAATCCGCTCAGGTTGTAGCCAGCCTGGCTCGGCAACTCCCAGCGCTGGGTCGACTTGTTGAAGCAAAAGCTGTTCGGAAGCCCCAGGTCCGCCCGGATGGGAAACAGCCTGCGCCGCAGGGTCGAGAGAAGTCCCCGAGACTCGTTGTGCGTAGGAGAAGCATCTGTGACTTCGGTATCCTGATCTGAACTCTCGCTGCCGCTGTCTGCCTCGCCGCACCAGGCGGTTTGTGTGTACCTCTCCGGAAAGCCAACAAGATCATTGGCAGCAACCTCCTGGTAGGCAGAAGCCCATGGTGCAGACTCGGACTCCGCCAGAGGCATGTCCCAGGCCTTCACCGTGGCCGGGGCGTCCAGACTGGCCCTCTCGTTGGAGTGCCGCCGAAGCAAGGTCATGCAATGCAAGTGCCTCTTCCGCTGTGCGATGGCCAAAGCTGTCTCGCCCTGGTGGTTGCGCTGGTCGACCTGCGCTCCAGAGAGAAGCAGGCAGTGCAGGCAGTCCAGCTGGCCCAATTCAGCCGCCTGGTGCAGAGGAGACTGCCCTTGATTGTCAGCAAAGTTGGGGTCCGCCTGCGCGTCCAGCAAGACCTTTAAGACCACTGCATAGCCATATCGACACGCTAGCATGAGGGGAGTAGTCAGGTTGATGTCAGGCCTGTCAACCATGGCCCGGCCCTGCAGCAAGAAGAGCGCACTGGGCGCAGATCCCCCAGCGCAGGCGTAGTGCAAGGCACTGCAAGCCCTGTGGTCTACACAGTCCAAGTCCCCATTGACCTGGCTATACAGCTGAAGGAAAAAGAGGTTGCCGTCCATCGCGGCCTGGAAGATGTTCGAGGTGCCTTGAGGGTTCTTCCACAGCGACATTCTCAGCAAATCGTTCCTCCAAAAGCTTGGGCGGGACGGCTGCGTCTCATCGCATGCCTCCTCCCAAACCCCCAGGATGGGGTCCAGCTCTGCTGGCTGGTGCCACTGCGAGATCCGTCGCTCCTCTTGGAAGAAGAAGAGGCGCCCCTCGGAGGTGGCGACCACAGTCCAACCATGCCAGTCGTCGTCGGGTGCTTCGACTTCCTCGGCAGGCTGGGGCTCCTCATCGCAAAGCTCAGGGCTCCCGAATTGAGGCAGCCTTTCCTGGTCGACCAAGCGTCGCGCTGGGCTTGGGCTGGTCGGGCAGACCTCTGGTCGCTCCGGCCAGGGCGTGATCTCAGGATTTTTCAGCTCACCCGGCTCGCCTGACTGTGGCATGGCCTGCGCAGCCTGAACAGGCTCCGTCTGGGCGCAGGCGTCGCACGGCTCACACGCCTGTGCGCTGTCCAAGGCGTCTGGCTCAGGAAGCAACCCTTCGCGGGGCACTGTCCGCAAGTCTCCGCGCTCGCCACCCTGCGGGGCGGTGCCGTCGCGTCGGCCATGTTCGCTGATACTGGAGCTGCTAGGCATCTCGAAGCGGCCCAGTGTGGGCCTGTCCCGTGGCGAACCCAAGGGCGAGTTCCCGCCCAGGGGCGTGCCAGCCCTGGAACCTAGGCGGCTATCCAAAAAGCTAAGCCCATCCTCCGTCCGCCCCAGTGACTCTGTGTCGTCGCACTCCGAGGAGGCGGAACTGGGCACCTGGATCTTGCGGTTGAGCCGCTCGAGCAGGCAGGCCACAGACCGCTCCACCTCGCTCTGCCGCACCTGGAAACTGTCAAAGGAGGCCTGGATCTCGTCAAAGCGCCGCAGCTCCTCCTCCGTGAGCCCCTCCTTGGATGCGAGCTGGTCAGACGCCTCAGACATTGCCTCGCCAGACATCTGCAGCGGCAAAGTGTTGAAGTTGCTGGGGCTGGTGGGCGGGGACTCGTCATCGCCCGCAGCCATGCAGAAAATCTCCGGGGCCCTGGAGCTGGACGGAGGCCGTGCCAGCGGGGCCATGGCGGAGGTTTCCAGGCAGCCCACTTCGCCTGGCAAAGGGCATCAACTTCGAACACTGGTTGTGGCTCATGTTGGAACACATGCACTGGACTTGGGTAGGCTTATGGTTGTTTTTGGGTTGTCTTGGCTGGTTGAAGGTTGGTTTCGGGTTGGTGTTTAACCATCCCCGCGTTCAAACACGAGGTGCTTTCGTGAGCCTGTTGGCTCTACTGCATGCGGCAGGTGCTGCGCTTCTTGCGCTTGCGGAAAGTCTCCCGGCAGCCGGGACCGGGCTTTCAAGGCCGCCGCCGCCCGCAGCGCCTTCTCGGCGGCACCTTGGGCCTTTGGCGCCATGGCGCCCGGACGGGCAACGGCTTTGATGCTGGCTTTGCGGCACAGACCCGCATCCACGCACATGCAACATGGACAAGGCATCAAGCAAATGCAAAAGGGAGCAGAAACCGCGGCGGGCAAACATTCCAAAAGTGTCCACAGACATCGGGACTGCCAAGCCTTAGGACACTCGCAATGTGCACCCCAAGGCCCTCTCCAAAGAGCGTCTGGTTGTTGGGTTGCTGGGGCACCGCACAGCACAGGGCGCTCAGTAGAAGCGACACAGTCATCACCTCAAGTTGTTGCATTCTCTGGCATCCCCTAGAGCGAGTGTTTTCTGCCCCCTCTTAGATCTGGCATTTCGCACTCCAAGCCGGGAACATTTTTGGCGCCCAGCAGGTCTGCTAGTCTCCCGCCCGGCACCTGCGGCACGGCAGCTTCACGCGGCTGCGGGGTTGGGATGGAGCGGTCCCCACCTGGGTGAAGAAGTACCCGGCGGCGATAGCAGACAACCTCACGCTTCCCCTTGCTCGTGGAAACTTATCTACCTTGTGCCCTGCTGAGCAAATTGCAAAATTTGCATCAATCACTGATTCCGCGACACACCTGCTTGTTACTACCCAGCATCGCGGCTCTTGTGGAGCCTCCTCCC